TCAGAGCTAGATAAGATTTTAACAACTCTGAGCTATTAGTTAAGTTCTCCCCAAGCGAGCTCGATGGGCCGAATGGCCTCCTCTCGTTTGCATAGTTCTTATGTTCTTATGTGAAAACTGATTTTCTGATATAAATAATATGAATTTTCTCTCTGTATATTTGAATTTCTGATATCAAAAATACACATTATAACTAGTTACAATTGCACTTTTACCTTTAATATTTTAATAAATATTTAATATATTCTTATTTTTTAAAACTAGTAAATACAAATGAAGAAAATGTATGCCAAGACATCTAAATTAGGCTACGAGAAACTGTTCCACCTTGTTTGTGCATCTTGTGTTAAGCATTTTTGAGGAATTTGCAGTTCAATTTGACTATCCTACAAGAGAATATACGCAAGTGGCGAATGCTTAAAATACCCCACAGTGTTTCTCCCACTGGCAACAGCGTCACATGCACTTCATTCTGATAGCAGCCCCCTTCTGTATCACAGGCTGCAGCAAGTGCGCAAAACAGTCCAAGCTAGCAACTCCCAAATCTTCCATTGCTTTTTTCGTATTACTCGCGTTGTCTCGCACAATTGCGTGCGCTTTGTTTAGTGGGATTTTCCACTACACACTTCTTATTTTCAAAACTTTGTTTTTACGAAGATTGCAAACCGCTGTGCCAGTAGTTGTTGTAAAAAGTGTCAAATACTTCCAGATCATCACCCTCCTATGTGATGTTCTTACGCTGCCTGTACTCCAAAGGGAATGCACATGACTTCACAGTAGGCGGAAGTCACTGTGCTCACACCCTCTGAGTGGCAGAAAGGCTGGGAGCTGACATTAGTGTTCAGCTTGAATGCCACAAAAACGCATCCAAAATGGTAAAGAGCTGTCATGCGATTGATTGTAGAAATTGATTTAACAAGAAATAGTAGCTGTCTTTTTACTGAAAACTGAATAAGTGAATAAAAAAAATGAATAAGATATGGATCGGTCACTTATGGCCAATACCCAATCAGATTAATAGGTCTGGATTGGCACCTCTATCAGAAATTCTATTTGTTACATTTAGTAAGATTCAAAACATTTGTCTCATTTACTTCAATGAGTTGAATTTGAACTAGTTTAAATGTCCTAGTAACTAGTTTTAATTTTCAATTTCTGATGCCAGGGATTCAAATATGTAATAATGTGCCATGTACTTTATTATTCACTGTGTTTATTATTAATTATTACTGTATTTAAAACTGAAAAGTAATATCGGACCTCACCATATATTTGTGCATGAAAGTCACGTTATATAAGGGGTCTGCGGATGGTTCACTATTGTCCATGGTGGTGGCCATCCGCGGCAGGTTTTGCAATCTGTCCCCCACGGATACTATGGGGAATACTATACTTGACAATGAAATAAATATTACTGGTTTATGTTTTTACTGTACTTTTTAAAATCACTTTTACAGTGTACCTGTTTTGCTTAAAAAAATACTGTTGCCTAGGTGTGTAGTAGGCTAAACCATCTAGGTTTGTGTAAGTTACACAATGACATGCATTGTGTGAACAAAATGAGGCATTACTCAGAATGTATCCCTGTCGTTAAGCGCCGCTTGACTGTGGGCTGTTTTTAGTTTATTAAATTGTTTATTAACTTATTTAGTATTAAGGGTATATTTAATTGGGTTATGGTGATCCTTTTCCCCCCATAACCCAAAAAGGCTGTTTTTTGGTGAGCGGTCTGGTGCACAATGCACCATGATATGCATCCCTGCTCTGGATGACTGGGAAATGTTCAGTGGTGGTTAAGCGTAGTTTTACCTCTTGAAATGAGACCTAGGAAAATCCCTCGGAGTACGGTCAGCTGACCACACCACTCTGTGCTAAGCGGAGACCTCCCTCTGTCCATGTTGCCCTTTTGAGATGGGGTCTTCCTGGTCATTGATTCTGTTGCATCTTTGTGTCCCTCCCTGGTTAATGCTTGGCCGTGTTCTCTAAATTTCTAGTGTCGAAAGCTGCTTTTTGACCTGTGTGGGCAGCTCTCGGCGTTTTGCTCCGTTGTTCTGTAGCCAAAGTTCTTTCCGATGCCTAAATCTGTGTGAAACCTCCGTGACCTCCTTCATTCCAAGCTTCCATCCTAATCAGCCAAGCCTGGCATTGCCTGCATCGAAATCGATTGACTGTTGTCTTCTGGGAACATCAGGGTTTTTTACAGCAACCTGTAGAGTAGACGCGTGTGCCCAGGGTTTTTATTTGTGCATCGCCTGAGGTTTATAAGTTAAGCTTTTGGAGCATAGTGTAATTTTATGGGGGAAAGCTTAAGTATCTAGGACGACTGACCGGCAGAAACATGTCATCGTTTTTCACTCCCAGGAATATCAGAACAGCTCAAGCACTGATTTAACGGATCACTAATAGATGACACCTCCCAACTTTTTCACTGAGTGCTGTTCAGAATGTAAGAAGGGCACAGAAAAACCTTTAACTTTGTTCCAGTTACGATAAATAAGCCATCCAAGGAATTGAATTTGTTGAGCAACCTTCCATGGGTCCAATTATATTCTGTTTTATTCAGCCCGGTCAAGGAGTCCAAACTTAATCCAATTGTAGGTGCTTTGATGAGCTATTTTCAAGGAAACGTGTTGACCAGGATTCAGATATTAGCATTTAGACTCACAGCAAATTCCATCAGCCTCTTGGGCTCTCTAGTTAAAATGCATGAACGAAGCTGAATAAACACAATGAACTGCAAACCACTATAACTCTGCACACTGTAGCGTTTATTACGTTGCAGAATTCATTATATTGCTTATTATGGCTGCACTGCATGTGTTATTTAGGAAAAAACATAAACCTTAAGACAAACACTAACACAAATCAAGTAGCCTTCTGAAATTGATAGTTATATAAATATTGTAGAAAAGTCAAGTCAAGGCTAGGCCTTATAAATGCGGCTTCCAGTGTTTCTCTCGTTTTTGTAAACACTCAACGTGCGTTTTCATCAGAATCATTCTTC